TACGCCTTTCTTTCCTTCGAGCGGCCTGTGTTTTTGTGGTATGAATGATCACTCATGTACCCAAATGACACGGGGGTTGGCAATACACAAAAGACGTTCGCCGCCGAAGTTTTGTGTTTTATCTGTTGTATCAGTCATCTTCGTCCCCAGTTAACCTCCTCTCAATATCTTTTGCCTCTTTTTTCTGCCCTTACCTGTCCCATTTTCCACTTTCTCATCCCTTTCCTTTCTTCAGCTTGTATCTGGTTCTGTTTTCTACTCTCCTTTCTCCTTTCTTCTTTGTATTTTGATTTTGTACAGGGCATCTGCGCCAACCGGTTCCCAAGTCCTGGATCCATCTCTTAACATACATCACGGGCACCATCCCGACGCAAGAGGCAAATCACCCCCTCTCGAGAACTCAAAACGTTGGAGAAAAACCAAATTCTCAAAGAGTAAGAATTAGGGAGAGGGCGAACGAATCTACACAAATCGGTACTTCATCCTTTGCTCTGGACCACTTGGAGAAAAAAGCACCCCGCTCTCGACCCGGTTCCCTCAGTCGCCCAACTGGATTCTCGGTCTTCACCCCAATACACGGTTCATCACGCTTCCCATGATATTCAGCAACAATTTGCTCTTTTCGGATGCAAGAAAGAAATATCAGCCGCAACAAAGGCTCACTAAGTCTCTCCCACGACCAATGGAAGCAACACTGAGCTTTGTGCCTGGACGGTCGACTTCGGCCTTGAGGGCTGACCCGCTGTGTGCCTACTCGCTGCCATCGCCAGTTTCGGGCCAGGATACTCCCAGTACGCAAAGACATCGTACCCACACCAGCAATGCTTTAATCCTGCATAAACTGTCGCCTTGTTATTCTGCTCTCTTTTTTTTTTGTTTTGTTTTGTTTTTGCTCTGTTTTTGTTTCTCGTTTCTCCTACTTTCTCTATTCACTCTACCTTCTTTTGCGTCCATCCAGTCCGTCCTTTGAGCCGTTTTTCAGTGTCTGCAGACTTCTCGTTGCGGCTGACGAATCCAATATTGTACTTCTATGTTTTGGCGGGCCAATATTCTCTTTTTAGCGACTTTGACTCTGCTTCTTTCTATTTCCCTTACCTCCTCCACCATTCCTTTGGAATGTTATCGACCTGTCTTATCCTCAAAGATTTTTCTTTTCTTATGTGCACTCTTCCTAACGCTCCTTTCCATTTACAGGATTTGCTGGCGACAAATTTAGCCCTGCAGCGGTTCACCTTGGCGACAACATCAGCAATAGCAGCTCGCAAAGATCATATTCGAGTGACTCAAACTACTTTTCCCAAATCCATCTGCAGCAGGGACAAATCCCCAACGACTCGCAAGTGCCAAAGCACCGCCAATTCAACCCAAAGGAAGACTCGCCGTGGTCAGGGTCACGGCAACCCTCGACGATAGTGACAGAAGTATCCACCTTGGACGTTTCTGGCATATACCAGCAGCAACAGAAGCAACAGCAGTCTCAGACAGCTTCTTCTTTGGGCCAGAAACACGAAGTTGGGCAGATGAGCGTTTCCCTGAACCATCAGGTCTCTCTCGGCGGCCAGACGTCGTTGGGACACAATTCTCTGATCAACTCGCCAGCCTTTGGCCGCTCTTCTCTTGGACATTCGCTGAACGACGACACCTCCCAAGTACATCATCAGCAACATCACAACTGGAACCCAAGCCGGTCATTGTTCACCACACCCGCTGAATCGTACGGATCGTCACGAAATACACAGTCGCCCAAGTCAAATACGAACAACGGGCACAATTTTGTGCAGAAAAACGTGTCCGTTACAGGTCCGCAGTTTACCTCGACCATGTCGGGCAATTCAGGGGGACTGGGAGGTGACGGACTACGGCGCTCGCCAAATCTACAGCAATATTCTCAGTCTACGGAACAACAACACGACCAGCACTATCAGCAAACCCAACGACAAAGCCAGCAATTTTCAGCGCCTCAGGGACCCTTAGCATCTCAACCACGAACTATCCACGATAACAGCAACAGTGGCAATAACAATAACGTCAACCGTGACAGCCTAGGCACAAGCGGAAACTCAATGAACTACCGAAGCCATCTTTCGCCTAGTCCGGGGCTTGGTATGAATAGCTTCTCGTCCAAGCTGGGGGGCGGCATCCACCACAACATGCCGAGTCATTCGTCATTTCAAATGTACAATCCGCAACCCATGCATCACCTTGGCGACCACCACCAACAGCAGCAGCAGCACCACCATCACGGCCTCCCTAGCCCAACGCACACAGGGAACTCCATGCGGCTGATCCCCCCACCACTTCCATCACAGGCCGGAATGTCGGGCTTGGTACCTCCACCCCTGGGAAACAGCGGTGCCGGCCGCGGCTACTCACCATATAGCCACCCAGGGTCAGCACCACCACACTCGCCTGGCCTTGCGGGGCCGGTCATGTCCCCGAGTGGTCAGATGACGCTCGTTTCCAGTATGGGAATGCCGTATGGTGGCGGAGATGACAACCCTGGCAATGGTCCGGGCGACGGGTTCATAGGTGGTCGTGGTCGGCCACTCCTCTACAGCCACAACGCCCTGCACGTCCACCACCTAAACCCGCACCAAATTGGCCACCACCACCTTCCAGGCATTCTCGGCGGTAAGGGACTCAATGGACCTGGCGGACCCGGCGGCGTCCACGACCGGCCTTTCAAGTGCGACGTGTGCCCACAGTCGTTCAATCGCAACCACGACCTGAAGCGCCATAAACGGATCCATCTGGCGGTCAAGCCATTCCCGTGCAACTACTGCGATAAGAGCTTCAGCAGGAAAGACGCATTGAAAGTTGGTACCACCATAGAGCACCGCATCTGTTTATTCCCTTATTCTATTCGTCGACTTCTGTAACCCAAGCTAACCAACTCCCAGCGTCACCGACTAGTCAAGGGTTGCGGTGAGAGGCCATCGGACAACTCGAGCAACAACGTATTCAACCCAGAAGAGCTCCATCCCCCAAACGGCAGCGTTCTGAGCGATACGACTAGTGACGGTGGCCACGACAATCAAGGACTCCTACACTGATGACCTGGGGGAGATGTCCAAACTCTGCTTTATGTCTTACGATTTCCTAGACATTTTCTAGCGGCTAAATTTCTTATTTACGGCGTCTGGCTCTCGATTATAAGCCGATATTTGATTTCTATATTTTGTGTTATTTACAGGACTGCTTCTCCTCCGAAGGCTGGGCTTTACAACTTGGAACATTGGGCTATATAATATTATGTGTATGGGTCTCCCTTGGTACTTTGTTGTTTTATTTTATGTTATTTTCTTCTCCAATTGCTTTTGTTTTTCTGAAACAAACTGCATAATGTACATCACTGGATCTAAGGTAAGAAAGTCAAATGTGAAGAATTGACCGCGACTTAAAAGGAAATTCGACTGGTTTTTAGGGTTTTCGTCTGTATTAAGACACTAGATACTTCGAAAGAAATTTTTGGTGGCAAGGACAGGATCTATCATTGAATGACGGATATATTTCAAAAATCAACTCTGTTCAAATTTTTTCATCCTCTTGGTATTTAGGTTTTTTTTTTCAGATTTAAGGCGCCGAAGCCGTCATATTTTTTTTGGTGCCGCAATCGAATACTGCAGCATCTACGACTCTGCGTGCAATCCAGACCGCCTCCTTTTCACAGACAACAGAAAGTAAACAAACGCTCCTGACGGCCCCCACATTTTGCATCCGCTTCTTGCGCATGTCGTATTACCCCAACTCCACCACCGACAAACCCACCCACTCGTAAGTACACTCCTTTACCCGCGCAAAAATACCTAATACCAATAGTGGTAGTACTGGGAATGGGCCTTTTTGTCCAACATGCAATATCGTCAACAGCCCAGTCAGAAAAAAAAAAATTGAAAGAAACAGGATAGTATCAATGAGAGCCGAAACGGGATTGATGCAAACAAAATGGAAGACAGATAAAAAGACCTCTCGTTGATTTGAGAATATGGACCAACCAGAAAATAATAAAATAAAGCAAGGTAGAGCAAACAAGGAGAAACGACACACAATATCTCCCTCTTGAAAGGAGGTGGGACAAGGTGATACTGAAATCATTTAGTCTAAGACAAGGGGAATATGTTTCGATAGCACAGCAACCAGTGAAAAGACACAGGATTCAGGAAAGGGGCGAGCAGGGAACAGAGGTCTTCGGAAGAGGTTACCGAAGCCTTCATTTCAATTCCGATTACACGACACTTCAAGCAGTAAGTAAGTCTTTGCTCTCAGAAAACGCCCAAAAAAGTCGAATCAATGCATGAATAGAAAGCAGACAGCAAATTCAATTAGCCTACCCTTGGTCGCCGAGGGTACAGCATATGCTTCTGGGCGATGCATGCACTACATGCAATCGACTTATTTACATTCACACGTTCCTCTCCAGAAATGGATTTCGTCGCTCTTCAGTCTTGCGCTGTCGTAGAACAGCACGACGTTGTGTCAGCTGTCGCTCAAAGAGAGTAAATGTTCCCAAGCTGTGCCAAAAAAAAAGGATACACAAAAGTCAAAACCAACCGTAGAGACAAAAAAGGCTGGTATTCTGTAACTTAACGTTTGGTCGGCTCAATTAGATTAGATGAAAATTAACCCTCTCCCATCCCTCTTTCTCTTCTCCAAGGTCATGCGTCTCCCAGGTTTGAATGGCAAAGTTGGAGAAATGCCCAACGACAAAAGAAATTGTGTTTTGAGCGAACAAGTTGGAAACTTCCAAGCTAAAAACAAGAAAACTGAACTCCAAATATTATGACCAAAAGAAGACGAATATATACATAAGAAAGAAAAGAGTGAAAGAGTGACGAGACCTAAGGATGCTTGAAAATGCCAAGAATGCCATGGAAATAAAAACGGAAACAAAGTAAGTCCAATAAAATTCCAACTTCAAGCAAATCAAGACTGAGAAGTAAACGCCGAGAGAAAAGCATGAGAAAATGTGCAAAGTATGAGTGTGGTCTAGGCAGTACAGCCTAAGAATTCAGCGTTTTGACCATCATCTTGGCCTTACGCTTGTCGGGAACAACAAGGTGACGCTCTCGCATAACGCCCTTTATCGTGTCCGCCACTTTGTGGAAGCTGTTGGCGGAGCCCTTTTCCTGTGTCAGGCGAAGAATAGAAAGGTGGTTTCGCTTTCCATGCTCAATCACAGTAATGATCTCGCAGGCAAAAGCCACTTCTCGGATGCCGAGGTCTATAACCTGTCAGTACGAATGCACATCTGAGTCAAGAAAGGAATATGTGCAAAGGGAAAACCCACAGTTGCCAGCGCCAACCTTAGCAAACACGATGTTGCGCTCCTTGTCGACTTCGATATCCCGGATACCATAACGACGCCAGTCCCGTAGGAGCATGACAACTTCCTGGCGTGCACGGCGTTGCGACAGCCCCAGGCACAGATGCCGCGTCGCAGGCTTCACACGGAAAAGGCGCGATAGCCAGTTTTGCTGAGGCTCGATCTTGCGCGCATTAGGCTCGTCGTCGTGGTCGTTCCAGCTATTGCGACCTGACCGGCTGTTGTTCGAATTCTTACTCCGTTGGCTGCCGTTTCCGCTGTTCCTGCTCGTCCTGCTGGTCCGACTGTTCCCACTATTCATGCGCGACTGATGGGGCCGCTGCAGCGCCCCCTCCATTTCAAATTGACTGTCCCCGTCTGCCACAGACAGCTTCGTGTCGCTCTTGGAGGACGTCTTCCAGAACGGGAAAATAAAGCTCTTCTTCCTAGAGAGAGCGTACGGGGGTGCTTCAGCTGCCGATACGATTGTTGGTGCTTCGGTGTGGCGCGAAATCTGTGTAACACGGCGCTCAGACGACTCTACTGTGTTGTTGCGTATGTCGGTCTTGGACTGGCGCTTGAACCACGATAGTCTCGTGGGAAGTATTGAGCTTCGATCGCTTCCCCCGCTCATGGAGCCGTGGTTCGAGATACTGGTTTCTTCCACAATCGTCTCTGTAATTGGTTCAGGCCGGTACTTGATTGTCTTGTCCTGGCGACTCTGCGGTCGTTGCTGTTGACGTGACGATTGCTGTTCCATAGACGAGGGTTGCTTCCCGTTCTCCAAGGAGCGTTGATGCGTCTTCTCCTGCGGGTCAGAGACAGGACGCGCTTTAGTAGTCTCAGCACGGCTGACCTGTTTGGGAAGACTGAGAGGTCTCGGTGTTGTGATAGGTGCGTTGGACCGAGTAGTCGTAGGCGAGACTACGAGTCGGATGGTGTTCTCAGCCTGCGCAAGGTGAGCCAGTTCCACGATGTCCTGTGCCTTATGCACTGTGTTCTTCTTCGACGGTGCAGAAGATGCGCGCGGCTTGTCTTTATCTGCCAATGGCCAGTTCTCGTGCTTGGTCTCGTAGATAGACGGCAACGGAACCACGCCTGTCTTTCCAGACTGCGAATAGACGGGCGCCGAGACAATGCGACGGTCATCAGAGCCGTGAGAAAGAGGTGGAACGTTCACAATACGCGCCTGTAACTTGGTGTTCGAGGATGTCGCAACACCAATTGCAGCAGAGTCGATTCGTGCTTCTTTCGGCCCGGTGGCCGTCTTCGGTCTCTTTTGGTTTTGACCTTCCTTAGCACGCATAATTTCCCGCTTCACAGATTCGGAACGCGGCGGCGAAGGAGGCAGTGGTCTGGAGTGCCATGGCTTGTGCTTGTTCGACTGTGAAGCTTGCGCTGCCGATTCAGGAGGCACGGTCAGCTCAGGACTACTTAGTCGAAGAGAAAACGGTGAGTCCCTACTTTCATCCCTCTCGGAAGAATCGACAACCAAAAGCGAGCTCATGAAAGCATCATCTAGGTCCTTGGCAATCCTGCAGCTGAAATCCGTAAGGTCCTCGTTCCATACCGGCGTCGTGTCCCTGGGTTGCGAAACACCATTAGCGCCGCTCATGAGCGGTTCCGTGTCGGGGTCAGCTTCCTGAGCGGATGGCTTGCGTGCTTTGGAAAAATCCACGCCGCGTTTATGCCTTGATGTAGGGCGAACGCCCTGTTTTCCGTTCATGCTGCGCATGCTCCGTGTGCTGCGAATGGAGCTCATTGAACCGCGCGGCGCTTTCAAGTAAGCCGCTGACCCACGGCGTTGTTGAATATAGACCTTTTTCTTCGTTGCCGCTCCACTCGCCTTTGCCTTCATGGCTTCTGCTTGGACCATAGAGCGAACCTCGGCCTCGACGTTTGGATTGTTGCGGTGCACGACAATCTTCGCATGACTTGCTCGCGCGTCGCTGGGCTCCATGACAATCGAAGACTTATACGGGTCGTAAGACTTGACGGTTCCAGCTTCGGTACCGGCCTCTGTTTCCGCAACGTTGGAAATGACAGTAAACCGCGACACGCTCCGCTTGTGGCCCGCGGCATTTGACTGAGAGAACTTTCGAGTTGACACCTTCTTCGAGTAGACTTGATTGACATGGTGATAGTCGCTGACGGAGTGTGTGAGTGTCGGGTTGTAATCTTCTTGCTGCCGTTCTCGGTAGCCATGCAGCAGCCAGTAGAACAGTTTTTGGTCATTGGGCCTATGAAGCATGTCAGCAAAAGAATACCAATTTGAGAAAGAGGATAAAGGGTGCGTCATACTCATTGCTAACAAGTTTGGCAGCCAGGTCATCCTCCCGCAATGTATGCCACATGGAGCGAAGCTGGCGGAAGATCTGTGTGTCAATGCTTGCCAGATCGAGCGGTGTAACTTCCGTGCCTCGGCCGCCCTGGCCTTGACCATCAGTGCCACTGCTGCCAAGGTCGTCCAAGTAGCCATATTTCCATATAAGAGGATGCTGCCACATTTTGTTCATGGAAATGCGGACCTCCGGCTCGATCTGGAGGATACGATGGACAAGGTCTTTTGCATCCGGGCTGAAAGCGCCGGGCATTGTGTAAATGCCCTTCTTAGCTTTGGCCAGCATCAGGCCCATATCATCCTCATCAAATGGTAGTCTGCCGGCGAGCATAACAAAGAGAATCACGCCCATACTCCAAATGTCTGCCTTGTCTCCACGGTAGGGGCGGGCCTTGAGAAGCTCCGGAGCAGCGTAATGAGGGCTGCCACATGACGTCTGTAGCTGATATCGTGGTCCTTGGTGCAAAGCAGCCATGCCGAAGTCGGCGATCTTGATTTGGCCATCCGCCTTTAAGAGAATGTTTTCTGGCTTCAGGTCGCGGTGGCAGATGTTATATGCGTGACAGTACTGCACGGCACTCATCATCTGCCGGAATACAAAGATAGAAACCTCTTCGGTCATAGCACCATTCTGACTAACGTATGTGAAAAGATCGCCATTCTCGACGTATTCGAGAATTAAGTAGCTACAAGTTGTTAGCTTGACCAATCCCTCTTATTGACAGTAAATTGCAACAGAGCCGTAAGTGCAGTCCAACTCCACTTACATCTCATTGCGGTTCTCCCAGATGTCGTAGAGCTTCACAATATTAGGATGCTCAATCAGCTTGAGAATAGCCACCTCGCGTTCAATAGCAAGCGGCATACGACGAACGCCGTTAATGTTCTCCGGCAGGTTGCTGTCGAATTGGTCGAGCTGGGCAATGCTGCCAGACTGGGTCATGCGAGCAGTTTTCTTGGCGATGATTTTGACAGCCACAGGCTGGTGCGTCGTGCAATGGCGGGCAGCCCGCACGCGCGCAGAAGAACCCTTGCCCAGCGTCTTGCCGAGCTGCCAGGGGCCGATATGGGACTTCTTATTTGGGAATCCGTCGCAGGAAGAGTACTGTGATGCGCGCTTGGAGTCAGCTGTATGCCGCGAGTCCCCAGATGTAGCTGAGTGCCGCTTGCTGGCCTCGGCAAGGTCCAGTGGCGGCGCATCGGTCATGTCGTGGTCAGCGTCTTGCTGGTGATGGCGCTGCCGTTGCTGCTGCTCGTAGGCTTGTTGTTGAGCATGTTGGTAAGCAGCCTGCTGCCGGTACGCTTCTTCGTATTCCTGCTGGTATTCTTGGTAGTACTGGTCAAGTTTCCGCTGCTGTCTATCGACAGATGGCGGGCTGGGGGCGGCAGCAGACACGGATGCTGACAGCTTCATGGCCACCGTAGCGTCCGAGTTCCCAACATATGCGGCGGCAGCATGCTTGCTGGTCGGGGCAGGTTGCGGTGCGTTCGGAGTGTTGGCTCGAGACGTGGCATCGCCAAAGGGCACACGGGTACCCGTCCGGCTGGAGCTCACGTGCAATGCCATGGCGGCCTCTGTGTCGACACAATTTGGTGAAGAGCTATTGCATGCTTCGAGGAGCAGGATTATGGACGACGAGTAGATGGGAGCAAAAGATGAGGCGAAAGAAGAACTAGAATAAGAAGAAGAGAACGGAAAAATGCACGTGCAAAAAAACAGCAACAACAAAAGTCAACAAGGCTGATGCTAGATGCAAATTGCCGGATAAAAAGAGCGAGGGCAGGGTGAGCTGCAAGGACAAACAACACAAAAGGCAACCGACCGGGTTTTGTTGATTACCCCACGCGGCGTAAGGTAGAAGACTGGGAGTTGTTGAAAAAGAGAGAGAAGGGGAGGATAAGAGGCGAAGAATTGAAGAAAAGTCAATCGCATCAAGAGAGCCGGATGGGAAACCACGCGTTGGGAAGGGGGTTGTTGCTGCGACACGCGTTTACCGATAGCTCTTTCCAATTCTGTGGCATACAACAGTGGTTGCCCCGGGTGCCAGATGGATCAGAGTTCCGGAATCCAGTTGACAAGGAAAGAGGCACTGGGGCCGCTCTTGCCGCATCAAACACTTCCTTGTGCGAGTATCGTATACACGCGGAAGGAGGGGCAGAGCTACGAGGCATGTGGTACTTTGCAAATATAGCAGGCGCCCTGCGCGAGGAAGGTACAGTCGGTACATCTTAGCAGCTCACAATACAAACAGCCTCACTTTAAAAGGGAGTCGTCAAGAATGAAGACAAATAAGAAACGGAGCTCGCAAGGGTCTGCTTCGATGATGCAGCGCTGCAGAGCGCAGGGAAACGGAATGCGGACATCCAGGTCGAATTTCTGAGAGCGGGGCGGCCAAGTTCAGGCGAAAGCGACCGTCGCGGCGACAATACGTCGTAGGACAACAAATAACAAAACGGACAAGGCTATATCAGGCGAGGATAAATGGGAAGAGTAGGGCATAAGGGAAGAGGGAGGTCAAGAGGGTGAGCGCTCATTTCAGACAAGTTGGATGTCTCCCTGCTCAGGGATAGCGGGACAATGGAGCAGTCAAAAAAGGGCCTTTGGCACGCTGATTGGCATGCTGCGTCACAGAAGCGATGGCAACGACTGGCATTTGGTTAAAATTGGATGGCACGATAAAATGCTTTTCCTTGGAAATGTATTACAAGACCGAAAAAGCACAGTACTGGAGCAGAAAACGAGGGAGAGAGACAAGAACAGCTCTGTCTGTTTGTTTGCACCGAGGCAATCACTCAGCCCGCCAAGGTAGACATTCACCGGACTGGTGACTTGTCGTCCCGCCGCCGATGGCGCAGAATCGAGGGCCCATATAAATCTGGCATTGTCTTTACAAATATGCCGTGCGTGCGCAGAGAGGAAACAGGACAGCCATGCAAGCTGATCTCAGACGACGGAACGGATCGGTGGAATGGGCGAGGGGGCAGAGTAAAGCGCACTGGCCGGTAAGTATCACTCGGTGCAGCCAAAGTGTAGCACGGCGTAGTCAGAGCAGGTCGAGTGGCACATGTGCGTTTAATGATAAAGTAGTGGTCGGAAAGACCATCGACATGTCATCAATTGTAAGATGTCATTCAGAATGGACTGAGGATGTCAATAAACTGTGACCCAGTGCTATTAACCGGGAAGGTGCAGACCAGCCTCTCTTAGTTTAAGTGCTCGTGCCCCATAATTAATTATGTAATCATGAGTCTCCGCATCACGGACGCGTTCAGGCGCGTGCCCCACCAAAAAGTCACTTCACAAAGCGTGTCGTGCACTCTTCACGATCGCCACGCTGCGCAACGTCAACGCAGCACCGAACCGCACCCCCAGCAGCCACAGCATGGCGGGGCCTGAAGCATCCAGCTCACGGCCGAGGCGTCCGCTCGACAACGGCGGCACAGACAACGACAACGGCCTCTCTCCTAACCCCAATGGCCGACCAGCGAAGCGACTGCGGCCATCTCTCGAGCCCGACGAGGCGAACGACATCCGCCGTAATGACGATGATGCCAGCGACAGTGACGAGGACGAAACCGCAAACGAGACATACTACTCCACAACCAGCGGTCGCCGGTCAAATGGCGTCGGCACGGCTCCCCGGTCCAAGACCAAACCAACGTTTCAGCCCGGCGCCATCGTGCGCGTGACACTCGACAACTTTGTCACATACGAGCACGCCGAGTTCGACCCGGGCCCGAGCCTGAACCTAGTTATCGGGCCCAACGGCACGGGAAAGAGCTCGCTCGTGTGTGCCATTTGCCTGGGCCTCGGTTTCCACTCCAATGTGCTGGGCCGCGCGACGACGTTTGGCGACTTTGTCAAGCACGGCCGCTCGCATGCCGTTGTCGAGATTGAGCTGCAGGCTCGCGAGGACGAGATCGAAAATCACGTTGTGCGCCTACGCATCAACCGCGAGGACAACAGCCGAAAGTTCTGGCTCAACGGCCAGGAGGCGCCCCTGAAGCGCATACAGTCGCTGATGGCCGAGATGCGCATCCAGGTCGACAACCTGTGCCAGTTCTTGCCCCAGGACCGCGTGGCCGAGTTTGCGGGGCTCAACTCTATTGACCTGCTTGCAAAGACGCTCGAGGCTGCGGCGCCCCTCGACATGAAGGCAATGCAAACGTCGCTGCGCGACATCTACCACGCACAGCGCGACGCCGAGAAACAGATCCAGATTGACAGCGAGCAACTGCGCATTCTCGAAGGCCGGCACCAGACACAACAGGCAGACGTGGAACGGTACCGGGAGCGTGAGGAGATTCAAAAAGCCATTGACGACCTCGAGGATTGCCAGCCACTGGTGCACTACTACGAGGCCAAGCGTAAGTACCGCGAGCTGAAAGAGGAGCGGCGTAGAGCCAACCGTGATCTCGCAGCTCTGACGTCCCGTCTGCAACCGACACTCGAAGCCATCAGTTCCAAAGAGCAGTACCAGGAGCAGCTCAAGGCTGGGCTCAGCGTACGGACGGCGGTGCTGCAGAGTGCCGAGCAAGCTGTCGGGCAAGCCCTCGCCAACATAGAGCGCTATGAAGACGAGATCCAGTCGGCCAACGCCCAGCATTTGGCGATGGGTGAATCCCGCGACAAGAAGAGAAAGGACATTGCAGCCACCCGGCAAAAGATCACGAGCCTCGAGGCCCGGATCAAGAACAAGCCGCCCGAGTTTGTCGCCTCTGAGTGGAATATGAAGATTGTGCGTCGTCGTCCTGTTACGGTTGCTGTTTGCTATTTTTGCTGTTTTTGCGATTTCTGCACATGAACTGCCATTGCTAACATTGTTTGTCCCTTCCAGCGAGACAAAGAGCATCAGAGACGAGAAATTGAGCAAGAACGTGGCGAAATCGCGAGCGAAATGACCCGTGTCAAGGGCGAGGCCTTTCGCTTGCAAACCGAAAAGAAAACGGTCGAAAACGACATGGCGGCACTCGACTCGCAGCGTGGCCAGCAGATCAGTTTCCTGCGGCGGATTGCACCCGACGTAGCACGTGGATGGGCGTGGCTTGAAGAGAACAAGGGCCAGTTCAGCAAGGAGATTTTTGGACCGCCGATGGCGACCTGTTCGATCAAGGACCAGAACTACTCCAATCTCATCCAGATGCTGTTTCAAAACGACGACTTCCTTTGCTTCACGGCGCAGAGTATTGAAGACCACAAGAAGCTCAGCAACCAGTTCTACGGAGCCATGGGCCTGTCCGTGACGATTCGGACGTGCACCACGCCCTTCAGCTCGTTCCGGTCGCCTTTCAGCCCGGACCAGCTGGCATCGATGGGCTTCGAGGGTACAGCCATCGACTTCATCGAGGGCCCGGAACCGGTGCTCGCCATGCTTTGCGCCGAACGGCGATTGCACCTGTCCCCGGTCAGCACACAACAGCCCCGGCCAGACCAATACGACACAGTGGTGGCCAACGAGAACATCATGACTTGGGCCTCCAAAGACCTGGTGTATCGCGTGAACCGGCGCCGCGAGTACGGTGCCCATGCTGTCTCGACAGCAGTGCGGGACGTTCGTCCAGGCCGCTACTGGACGACAGCGCAAGCAGATGTTTCTGAGAAGACGGATCTTCAACGGAAACTGGACCAGTATAACAACGAAATACGGAATCTGCAGGAAGAGATGCGCGGTCTCAAAGAGAAGATGGCCGGACCACTGCGGATGAGCAATGAGATTGACGCAGAAATAGTGAGTCGAGCCCCGGTGTGCAAGGTGTGCAATGCTGGCCCATGTTCATTCCAATCTAACACAATTTGTCTAGGAACGCCTGCGCGCCGAAAAGAACCAGCTGCAGTCCGAGTACAACAAGTGGCTGGCGCTACCGGAGAAGGTTCTGGCCGAGAACAACACGCTGAACCAGCTGCGCGAAGAGCACGCGGACCTCAGCGCGCAGCGGCAGCAGCTCGTAGCAACGCTCGACGACCTGGTGCAGCAAAAGGCCAAGGCGGTGTTGCGGCACGCCGAGCACGTGGCGCGGCTGCACGAAGCGTACCTGGCGTGTATGGACGTGCAGGTGCGCGAAATCGAGGCGGCGTCGGACGTGGCAGGCCTGCAGGCGCAGAACGCGCACCTGACGGCCCTGCGGGCCGAGAAGCAGCAGGCCCTGGCGGACATTGTGGCGAATCTGGCGGTGCAGCGCGATCTCGGCGAGGCAGCCATCCAGGAGGCGCACAACATTGCGCACGAGGGCAGCGAGCGGTCGCTGGCGCTGCACGCGCTGGCGCAGACCAAGACAACCGAGTCGCTGCAGAACGAGGTGGCGGCGGAGCGGGCGAAGCTGGAACTGACGCGCGCCGTGGACGAGGGCGTGCTGGACGAGTACGAGCAGCGCGCGAGCCGGATTGAGCAACTGCGGCGCGCACTGGCGACGACCACGGCCGACTTTGAGGGCATGGCGGCGCAGGTGGCCGACGTGCGCGGGCGGTGGGAGCCGCGGCTGGACGACCTGATTGGGCGAATCAACGACGCGTTCAGCTACAACTTTGAGCAGATCAACTGCGCGGGCGAGATCAGCGTGCACAAGGACGAGGATTTCGACAAGTGGGCGATTGACATCCGGGTCAAGTTCCGCGAGAACGAGGAGCTGCAGAAGCTGGACCAGCACCGGCAGTCGGGCGGCGAGCGTGCGGTGAGCACGATTTTCTACCTGATGTCGCTGCAGGCGATGGCGCAGGCGCCGTTCCGGGTGGTGGACGAGATCAACCAGGGCATGGACCCGCGCAACGAGCGGATGATGCACGAGCGGATGGTGGAGATTGCGTGCCACGAGCACACGAGCCAGTACTTTTTGATCACGCCCAAGCTGCTGCCGAACCTCAAGTACGACGAGAACATGACGGTGCTGTGCATCGCCAGCGGCCCGTTCGTGCCCGATGGCGAGGCCAAACTGGACTTCCGCAAGTGCATGGCGACGCAGCGGCGGTTGCTGGCAGAGGCAGCGGCGTGAAGTGACGGTATAAGGGTGTGTGCCAAAAAAAGATATCCATGTATATACGGACGTGATGACCAGCGAGGTGTACTTATGACGGCTTTTTTTATTTTACATGTTGTCTTTAATACCGTAAGTTTACTGTTTAGGAAACATGATATGAGATGATGGTATCAAACAACCTTTAGAACAAAAACAATTTTCAAAATAATGACAAGTGAAATTAGAAATAATAATAATAATAATAATATAAGTCAGCGTTCATTCGCACATATGTATGGTATCACACTTTTGGCCATTAATCGATGTTTCAACAGGGCTGCAGCCTCGCCAAGCGAGTAGAGCAGCACTCGTCCCTTGCAGATTGTGTTCTTGGTGACGAACAGCACGAAAAGAAAATAAAACATCAGTTTCCTTGGCAAGCCAAGAATATTACGTGCCACCTCTCCTCGTGTTCTATTACTACTCTTCCTTATCTCGACACTTTGGCATACCCCTTAATATTCCTTAATTTAGCCAGACTATAGTTCCTTGCCGCATATATCCACTGAACATGATGGATCGACAGAGAGGAACGCGTAACAAATAGATAATAAAACCGGTTGCCTTGGGCAATCCTTTTGGCCGGATATGAAGAAAGTCGGCTGCAGAACAAGCAGCATGAGTGCATGAGTGCATGAGTGCCAGTCGTCGGTCCGTTCTAGAATTAGACGATATCAAGCAGGAAAAGGGATAAATACCTTTGAGATTGTGGATTTATTCTTGCAATCGGGTTTACAAAAAGACGAAAGGCAGAAAATCAATCAGAGAAAAAACAAGCTTTGCAACTCAAGATAGAAATATAAATTGCAAAAGCCAAGCTCCCCAATATGTCGCACAGGAAGCCGTCAAGATCCTTGGAACAGAGCAGCATGTACAGATTGCACTTTCACTTTATGTGCCGTCTCTCTCCTGGCCAACGATACAGGAGACGAGAAGAAGCCACGGGTTGGCAGCAGGACGACGGAAGCTACTTCGGTGTCTAGTTTATTCTGCATGGGGTGTTGCGCTATCTTCCATTATCCACCGCAGACAGGCTGGGATCTCGACCCTCAAACAAAACGGATACAACAGCTTAGTAGCAGAGACGGCTCTTTCAAGGCATCGTCTGTTGGCGCAGCTATTAGCCGAGAAGGGCCAACATGAGCGAGGCTCATCTCAACCAGTTGGCCCTGCCCTTTACCCTGACCCTTTTTGTCATTTTCAGCAAACAGAATCGTGCGCACTGACATCATGTCGCAGCCAGGAGACGCTGGTGATAGGATATCACGATGCTCTGCCGCAGTTTCCAAGCGAAATCCAGACGTGCAGTCACCTCGTCTGCCGTGCCATGTTGTTGGATGCCACGGATGAGAGTGTTGATACTTATTTGACAGGGTGTTACAGAATACTTTGTTTAGGTAAGCTCCAGATTCGATGCAAGTAAGCCACATGGCTAAAAGAAAGCCTAGCCGTAGCAGCACTGCGACCATTAGAGTTCATCAAGTTCGCCTGACACCATTGACGTTGTTGGATCGTGGTCATGTGACTCTGAATCCATGGTTCAGTCCTGACATTCACTCGTATCGACGTAAACCTTTCTCCAGCACCTTAAAGATTTTTGACAATCCGTCGCCACGATGCTCATACCAGCATGGCCTTCAGACAAACACCTCGACTGGCGACAGGAGCCGCACGCCGCGCTCTTCTCGACACGATATACGCAAGGTTCAAAGGTCTCGAAAAAGGATCCAAAGAATACACGGAGCTAGCAGAATCGGGCAGAGTATGGGAGGAGTACCACCAGCCAGGCGACTTTGTGAAGATGGGCTACTTGAAGTGCCGAGAGGTATGAAGGCATGGTTTTTCTCAAACAGGCGGCTTCTTTTGTAGACTGTACGAACTGACATACCGCGCAGGATGCAGCTGAGACCCTCGCCCAGATCGACGACTTCAGGAAATCTATGCGGTGTCCTGCGAGCAAACGGGGTGCCCAGATGGTTCCCTAATATTCCCATCAGTCCGTGATGATCGAGAACAATACCCGGCCCCCTGGTGACAGTATTATGATGTACGAGGAACTGGATGAACGCCTTTTTAAGCCGGTCAACCTACCCACGCTGTCCATCCACAAATTGGCCAAAGCAACGCCGATTCCGCGGCTGGAATGGCCGAAGTCGATCACGTCCAAACGAGACGCGCTCGAGGTTATCGAGCTTCGAAATCATCTCGTAGCCAGTCAGTGGATCGCCGAGTCTGCATTGAACCACCAGGGCGAGGACGGACTCAACGAGGACGAGGTGTGCGCTCTCTCGGCCTTGACAATGAGAGACCTCGATGACAGTGGGCGTGGCCTGTATCCATGGTCATGGGGGCCGCGCGTCTGCCTCGGCCAGTACCGCCAGACGCCGATCGGCGTCAGGAGCAACCCGATGGCCGTATTCCCCTACCATCTCGAAGTCCCCGCATGCACGCGGCGCTACTTTGCGTGGCGAAAGCGTATGCACAAGGAGAGGGTCCTCCATCCTCTGATTCTCGCCTGCCACGCGATGGTTTATTTTCTACAAATCCATCCCTTCGTTGACGGGAACGGTCGCGTGTCTAGAATGATAATGCAGGACTATCTGATGCGGCAGGGATATCTGCCTAGCTACATGAAGTACCTGGACCGCGACGAGTACTTGAAGATGATCCATCACGCCGCTGATGGCGATCCCTCGCTGCTTATCGACCGCGTCTTGACTTCGCAGATGGACTTTTTGTATTCTTACATGCTCGATGATCTGTCCAGCGGCTCGCCTACACCAGTCAGGTAGAGGGTGGGCCATTGGCTGCGTTTCTTTTGTTTTGTTTATTTTGTGTCCATGTCCAATTTTGATACCCCGGAGTCACACTCCATTGTTTTATTCCAGTACTGGGAGGATGCATTAGCAAACGGCGTTTGTTTGTGAATGGCCAAAGCGTATAGGCGGGACGCATGCTTGTCGGCTGCTCAACGGCAGAGTTAGAATCCAATGTTTTGATATCCACGTCATGTCCAGACTGATCTTTTGTACATTCGTGAAAGCTGATATTTCTTCAGCTTTATGGGGTCTTGTTTTCCGCTTGTTCCAGCTTTCGGCTAACAACATTCCGTATCCGAGAAACACAATCTTTACCGACATTCTCAGTAGCCGCGGGCCGTGGCACGGCATAAGTCGATGCACGGAAGCGGGAGCAACGTATGGAGGACTGGTCATGACATATTGTGCATGACAAAGCTGCCACTAATACGGATCCCTAGACACAAACTATCGACCGCTCTGATCTCTACTGGCCTTGTTTACTTTGTGACACGACTGGATTTCATCCTCTTTAAACGACAAGAGTATCGAAAATTATGTGCCATTTTGCCGTCTCGTGCCGATACTCCCGAAAGCGCATGCTAATTTATATAATGGATTGAAGCCTGCACATCAGTGGCGCACGAAAATAGGACGATAACAAGAGTATTCGAAGCAAAAACGTCATACATACGGTCGAGTGGCACAGCAGGAAAATGGTGCACTTTTGTGTCTTTTGAGCAGCTGGGTATGCTCGCCTTGTCTCGTAACTTGGCTCGCTCATACTCACATGGAGCTTGACAGACATTGCGAAATTGAGCAAAAACATGGCGTCTGCCGCACAAAGACGGCACTGCCCGGCCCGCGTGGGACGAACAGACACGCCACAGAGTGCGCCCATCTACGTCGTGTGTAGCCAGACTTTATTCGCCGAAATAACGTGTCGTGCACTTTTCGTGACGGTGCGTCGTACATGTTTTGCACCACGCTTGCATGAGTACGTACGTACGCACTCTACATGTGTGTGCGTGTGTGCACGGGTGTGACATCAAGCATTCACATCGGGATATTTTTTGTGTGCTTCGCGCCACAGGGTTGCACGCCGTATCTCAATATCAGACTGGCAAATTCCGTCGTCTATGTCAGTGGTCCTTCCGTTCTCTTCACCGTGTTTCTCTCGCTTGATTACGGCTGCATTGCCGATATCCATTACGCATCGTTTTTCTCAACGACCCGGACTTGGATGACAGCCATGGATTTCTGCCCATCTCTCGGGGCGGTTCCATGTTCATTTCGTTGTATCTATGTCGTACAATCAGCCATACCGTGGCCAGACGTTGTTACACCGGAGTCTTTACACCGGACCCAGACGAATCTGCCAGGCGGTTGCGATTCCGCACAGGCCACAGACCCTTACTTTGTGTCCGGGACTATGTCGTGGTGACCAGCCACAATGCCATTAACAGACGGCACATATTGTCAGGTGTCTGTCAGCAAGCTCTAGCCTGGAAACTGTGCGTCTCGTCCCACGGCGGGAGAGCAATCGGCCAAAGATCAAATTTAATTTACAACCAAACAATCAAAAGACCTGGTAAATCGGTACGGCTGATGTTCTTAGGGGTGCATTTTCAAATGGTAACGACGTAATCGAGCAGGGGTTGTATCAAAGGCCACCTGCCAGTATTTGTTGGTGACATTACGACTTCGCTGTACCTTTGTGCAGGAGCCTGGCCTGGCCACTGTGGGATTTTAAACGTTGTAGTTTCTCCGTATGTCGTACGTGCAGGTGGATTGTCGATTACAAAACACTTTCCAACGTAAAGAGATGGAGTGAGACGGCTACCCTTGTCGAGCACAACCTCAGTGACACCTTCCATGGACGCCGACGAAAAGTCGAAAGGACGCAAAGGAAACAATGTCGTTAGAATGCACAGAAAAGGCCGCGAGACAGGACACGCCTAACGCAGAATGCAAAGGCCAGACCTGCCGTTCGTTTTGCGCCTCCCCTGGGCATCGTAGCATTGGAGGGAAATCAGTGGCCTCCCTCTCATGGACCGCAAAGATGGCGAGGCCGGGCCAGGCCAGTAAAAGGGGCCTTTGGCAGAATCAGGATGCCCGCTGTGGCGTGTAGTCTATCAACCTCAATATGATCACCTTTGCATTCGACAGGGGGGCCAATACACCGAATTTGCGGGGCCGTTTAGTCCAATGTACGGAGTATTGCAGCGTGTGTGGTCACAGAACCAAAAGGAGATGGCATATCAAACTATGACACGACACACGATGCACATCAATTGAAGCGAGGACAAACTACAGTGTAATATGTTCTTGATGATTCCGCGTGACCGCCATTGTTTAATTCCTCCCCCACACTACTTGACTGCCGACCAGGGGGTGCACCGACTGACCGCCACATCAAAAAAGGGGCACAAAACTTTATTTTCTCGCCTGTTGCTGTGTGCCTCTCTGTCAATAGCGTTGGCAAGAAAAAGGGTGCTTGGGTTGTTGGGCTTGTCCGGTCGAACGGGAGGACACCGCCGAGATGACATGCTGTGGGGGAGCTGAGAAAAAAAAAACGGACAAAGGCGTTTCTCGGAATGAGAAACGAGATGAGAAAATAAGAATGCGACGTAAAGAGGATAGGAAAAAGAAAAGTGCAATACGTCGCTTTGACACTGTGGTCCTATTAAGAGCTTGCATGGCGCATGCTCTTCTGGTGAAAATATCGACGTCAGGCAAACGAGGCGAGAAAGGCAACATATGAAGATTATCAAAATGTCAGCAAAGTGGGTAATTGTGTGCTGTTGTGTGCCGTGCCGGCTGTATAAGGCAAAGGATGTTGTCCCCGAATGACGATCCCCCAATGGCAGCGCATTCGTTGACGCTCTGAAGAGTGTTGACGATATCAACAGCGACTTAAAAGGGCCGACACAAGACGTTGTTTGGCCGGAAAGTAAATCCTTGCCTCTTGCGCTCGGCTGGCTTTTTGTGATTTTCGTCGCAATTTATTTCATCTCAACTGCTCTTTGTATCAACCCGACAGCTACAGCCGTGATAAAGACTGGCGGATTTTGCAAATTCGTCAGTCCGTTGAAAATACGGAGACAAGCTGCCAGACCAACCCTGACGGTTGTCTTTGTGCTCTGTGAGTGAAAGACGGAGAAATTTACGTTGGGGACGGGGCCTGGACTGGGGACGCCTACCGTCGTGCCGATCTGGCCCGACCAGGGGCCAGGGAAGCGCCGTTGTGCATCTCCTTTCGTAGGGCTACGAAAATACGAGCTGTGACGAGACTGGAGCAGGACGATGATGTACGACGTGTGGCGGGTTACATCAAATTTAGTATTTGGGGTAGTTCCGTCGATGTGTCGCATCTTACTTTCTACTGGCATTGTCTCCAACACGGGCCTCCGTGTGTTTGCAGTCTGCTTTCTCTTGGTGTCTCAGATGCATTCCTTGGGGGCGGAGTGTGCATCAAATTTTGTTCCACTGCATAGCTGTCTTTGTGGGCAGCCTGAAGCTTCAGTAGCCAGGGCTATCGCGCCATTTAACTGAGACGAGTGTGTACGTCGGATCATTTTTCTCTCATTGTTTAAATTTTGTTTTAAGTTTGCTTCTCGGGCCTTGAAAGTGCGGTATTTTGTTGTGGACGGGTTATGTTTTTTTTTTTTTTTTTTCTTGCCGTAAACTTACAAACGATGACAGCAGGAACATTTTTATTTTTCTGTTGAGACTATTTTTCTGTTGAGACAAGTAAATAATTTCAAAAATAAAACAACAAATCTCAGCGTCCCTATCCACGTTCTCAACACCATCATCGTATTTGTTTACTCAGTCGACCCTGACACACTGTAGCCCCTCCTGTGCAACAGTAAGACCCCTGCAGGAGACAAAGAAAGCCCGCAGCAGCTACCGAGTACCTGGACATCGGACGGGGCTTGATCAGCAATGTTTTTGTCTGCAGGCCCGGCTCTAGCTCCTCCCGACCTTGCTATTTGTGAATTGTACTTCGTACTCCGATTGGAGTCTCAAGCTTGGCGCCAAAAGAACAAAGGCAAAGAGATTGAACGCAAAACTTGCACGAGAAGATGAGGAGGTGAGGTCCCCAACCCAGACCGGTATCCTCAGTAATTGCTCGGCATTATTCCGTACAGAGTTTTTATACTGTCCACAAAACCATCTTCGACGATGTACGATCGCAGCCCACACCTCCACCGACACTACGGCGGGATTCAGGAGGGTACACTAGTTTGGTGCGTGGCGTTGGTGTCCACAACTTGCAAGACTCGAATACGGCATAATACATGTACATCGGGGACCAGAAAGGAACCTGGTGAGGCAAAAGATGTCCGGCGAGCCCAAACACGTCTTCTTTATGAGTACTCCGTTGTTACTGGTAAACATGTCTCAGTTCTGAAGATGAGGGCAAGGAGCATTTGGATTGCGCGACCGCTGCGAATGCAGTTGAAAGATTGTACGTCGTAATGTGTCGTTGCATTCTTGAATCCGTGCCTGCCGGTTCCATGCTGTCTTCTTCCACACTTTGTCGAAGCGCGTTTGTCACTCTGGCAGAGGGGCCCATCGAGTGCCATCGAAGGGCGGTCCCCGTTCAAAGTCGCCGAACGTGGGCTGTGCATGAAAAGGAACCAGAAAGAGAGAAAGAATGAGAGAATCAGCACAGCTGGGAAGTTCCAGCTGCTTATTCTCTCCGCGCTCTCGCCAAGCAGTTCTATCCCAACCACGGCACCGTTTCTAGCACTAGCAATGCACACAGGTTATTTTTGGACAGAGTTGCCGACGTTTTACGTCGTAGTTTGATCTGTTGTCCTTTCATCCTTCCGTGCTTCATTACTACAATGTACGGAGTAGTTAATTAGTTTGTAGGAGTACAATCGAACCACGCTCTTTTGAACTAGCCGGTTCTGTATTCTTTGGGAAGGTTTTTTAAAAAGAAGTTTTTTTTCCTGCCACCCCTGCTTTTTCCCGGCACTGCCGGAGCGTTCTCGAAGGCGAAAAAAGGAGAATATCCATTGGAAAAAAGGTCGGGTCCTGAGCGCAACCCCATTATTTGCACATGCCACGATTGGGAAGTGAGGATGAGAGGTGGTAGCCAAGCGAGCTATCGGAGGCCGAAGGGAAAGACACTACACTGGGACAGGAGAAAAAGTCTTTGACGTAGCCGCAATTCGACTGGACGTGGGTGATTTCAGCAAATCCAAGACCGAGATGGAAGACATTCAGAAGTAAAAGGGGCCTTGATAGGATTAAGAGAGCCGGGTTCTCTCTTCGTACTGTCACGGTGCAATACAATAACAGAATACGAATGAGCAAGTAAAACTCAGGCAATTGTTCATACCCAGCTTTGCACTGCCAGTCCAGACGTCAATTCGCGATAATAGGAATTCCAAGCTCACAAGCTACCTCGCAAGTGGTATTAGGACCTTACCGAGCTGACATGGTCTGACCTGGGGCCTGGGCCCAGCCTTGACCTTGGACCTGTGGTCTTGGCACAAATCAAGCTGTGTTTTCTTATGGGTCCTTTTGTTTCCATTTTAGACGATTTATTTTTCATCCTTGCCTCCGCATACCCACATCGTCGCGGTGCTTCCTTTGCCTGGCTAGCACAGCTCGACAAGGATCTTGCTTGCTTGCCTCGCGAACGAAGGGAGAGACTCTCTCCCACACAAGACCGCTACTTTCTCGTCGAGCATGTGCGTCACAGCCTTGGAACAATGTGCTTTTCGCACCATCCACCGGTGGCAATCACTTTCAAAGGGGCTAACGGATTTTACTCCTGTTCATTAGAACTGCAAAAAACAACAGGTTTCTGGACACAGAGACGCAATAATACGGCAGATTTGTTTGCATTATTACAGTGAATTTATTAATCGGCAAAAGTGCTGACAAAGCCTCCTTTTTTTCCAAAGTTAATTTGCAGACGACTTCGATCGAGGCCTTCCCACCAAAGTCTAAGCCCCTTGGACAGGGATTACTGCAGGTACGGGGAGCAATTGAGGAATCGCGATCGCGATCGCGCGTGGGTGTTCCCACTGGTTATCAATGTTATAACACGCGAACGGACATGAGAACCCTGAAATCCGATTTGAGGGAGAAGGGAAAAGGTATCTTAACAAGACGAAACAGTTCCAAGAAACACAAACTCTCCGAGGAGCTCTCGAGACGACGAATTTGAATTTGGAGATGAGTACAACATATATTACAAATAAACGGCAATGATCGTCGCAAAGAATGGAAACAGAGCAGCAGTAAAGAATGTTCTCTGGGATTGCATGGAATCCAGACACGCGGAGGGTAACGTGCGTCCCCAATGCATTCATTCTTGACTTGATGCTTGTGTGGTTGGCCCCGTAAAAGGCGCTGCGCAATGCTCGGCCGAATAATTCGTACAAAACTAAAGTTGATGACCAACTGAAGCGTTGCTTGAAGCGGGGTGTTTTGGGCGCATAGAGCAGAATACAACCAGACGAACCAACCGGCTGCTGACGCGTAGAGGTCGTCGACAGTGGATCGTGAACAACGCGGACATGCGTGGGATCGTGAGATGGAAGAAGAAAGTGGAAAAGGCAACGCGCGACAACGAGAGACCCGACCGCGTGGAACTAGAGGATACAAATTTGTTATGAAGACGACAAAAATAGAGCGACATGTTCCGTTCAGGTGCACGGATAGGGCTGGAATGGCATGGCTTGCTCGGGTCTTCCCTTTTCGTCCACCCACATGTCGTCCCAACATGTCCAGTGAATTTTTCGATGCCAAAACATAAGACTGCATTTCGTATTTGACCAGGTACGGAATACTCCGTACATTAGAACGGGCGTGGCATAACCGGATGCATAGGAATGGCACACCCAAAGCAAAATGGAGAAAGAAAACAAGAGGGAACTTGAAACCCAACTCACAAAGCGGCCTGCCATGGCCACCATGGCCACCATGGCCATTATGGCCGCCATGGCTCGGGATTCTGGGAGACCCCGTCATCTCTCCACTCCCCTACCCGCTTTTGCAAATTTGCAGTCCTTGTTGACTACGCGCGTGGTGCGGCGGTGCCCGAGGTCGATGTGGATGCATCTCGTATTGGTCTGCCTGGTGCATGCAACCTCGTCCCCTTGTTGACATTCATCTGATCGCCTAAAAGCATAGCAAGATGTGTATTCTTATAAACGGCTAACAGTCAACCAAAAAACACGTCTGCCACCATGTCACTCAAGACGGTTCAGACGGATCTAAATTTTTTCAGACCATTTCTTCGACATGGGAAAGAAGGCAGAACGAGCCGTCAAAATGGCGAACCTCCACCAAGAAACAGAAACCTGGGAAAGTTGGTCACCGCGGGCGGGACGCGTATTAATGCTGCGTCACTCGCGTCTCGCGTAGCGCCCCGTTTCTTGCATAGCATTACTGACATGTACAGTCTCTTCTGTCGCTGCAGGTCTTTTGACGAGGTCCAACGTGCTTCATAGCGCTTCCATTCGTAGGGCATAGCCACTTGTACAAAGGTAATTACGCGTAATAATTTTTGCAGAGTAATACCCTGCATTTCGAAAGGTAATTACATCTTACACATTCTCACCACAATTGCTCTTTTTCTTGGACCAAAATCTGTTTAGTTTCAACGCAGTACCGCATAGATGCATAACACGCTAAAGTAACCCTCACTACCATGAAAAAGTTAATACGAAGAGCTCGCAATCTCAAAATGTACGGGTAAGCTTGGTCTGTGGGTTGGATACGACATTACTGCCTTCCGGGCAGCAGCAAAAAGGGGATGGGTTACGGAGCAGATTAGTGCGTGTATGCGTTGAACAGCATGCGCATCTGCGGGAAGAATTTCTTGTTTTTTTTTAAAAAAAATTAATAAAAATAAAAATAGAAACGTCGTCTTTCGCCTCTGTAATTGCCTGTTGGACGCTATCTGTGTCTGCAAATACTGGCAAGCAACGGCGACACGACGTCATTTAGGCATTTTCCGTTGCGGCGCTGTTTCTTGTCTGCCGCAGCTGCTCTATCAGAACCAATCATGACAGCTTCGTAACCTTTTGCGATGCAAGGACAAGGACATGCAACCCATCAACACTCTTTCCCGGCCCCGCTCCTGCCTTTGCCGTCCTTTGCTGCGTTCGCTAGGGGATCGCCTTTACGGAGAGAAAGAGCAACCCAAGACGAGAGTAATTACGACACAGTAGATGCTCCTAGACATGGGACACCGTCCCGATAAGGAAATATACGAGGGAAAAGAAATTGAGACGGAGCAAGAGCGAAGGAGGCTCAGAGGGAAGCTGCGTGGGAAGGAAGCAACCAAAAACAAGTAAAAACAAGGCGACCTGTTGGAGACCACACAGCCTTTTAACCTCATATCTAGGTCTTCAATGTTCTTGTCCCTGGCCAGACCCTTCGGCTGTCGCATTGTCATTCTTTAAGCTGTTCCTGGTCCATTTTTTTGGCTTCTCATTGGCTTGTGGCAGAGAAAAACGCTTCCCGAGCCTCCCTTTTGGCCCCTTTTTCGTTCGAATCGTTCTTTCCCTGTCTACGACGTAACTGAGCTCCTCGAATCTCCACAGACCACCGGTCTCCGCTGCCCCAAGCTTAACGGGGGCTTGTCTTGTGTTTCTTCCGCCTGCCTCCCTTCCATATCTTCTCACTCCTTATCTCTTTCGCGTTTCTTGTTTCTTCTTCTCTCTTCTTTTTTCGTGTTCCTCTCTCCATCCGTTCGTTTCCCCCCTTCGCTTCTTCCGATCGTCCATCCGAGAGAGAGAGCGCAAAATTGTTTGGGCCGTTATTTTTTTGTTGTGTTGTCCTTTTGTTCGTCCTTCGCCTGGCCTTGTGGTTCCCCTTTGTCGTTTCCTTTTTGTTTTCGTCCTCTGCTTGTCATTAATATTCGCATTTTCTTTGTTATTCCTAATTGCGCAGCTTCGACCTGTTTTTGTCGTGGATCGTTTTATCGCAGCCGGCCTTTCGATAGGACCGTACCACCACGCGGCCGACCACGTCGTCATCGCTTGCACACGCACCACGCCCAGAAGAGAAAACCTCGAACGCACGCAATCACACAGACACAACCAGACCAGGCAAACCTTTTGATAACGACCTTGTCTTACAAACTACGCCAGAGCAAATCGTCCAACGGCACCTGCCAACGTCCCAGCTTCCAAGCATCTCTGTGGTTCTCATCTTGCCGCCCCAAAAGCCAATAAACCCACCCACGCCTTGGGCGATCTCTGCGTTCGACGACCACATCACCTCCCCGACGCCAGTTCCATTCCATCAAACGGCTGCAATCTCACAGTCCTTTCAGAGTTAGTGTGTCCTTCAACGACCCAGACAGATCCCTGCCGACCATCCACACTCGTTCGTTCCCCACCGGAGACACGACACACGGACGCCATCGACTTTTGTCCGCAAAAGCTTCCTTCAGCTCTTTCAACTCTCATTGCCCTTTTTGGTATTTGCGCATTTCGACGTTCGACCACACTTCCCGAACCGGACGATCGCACCGGCCCTATTATCGTCGCCGCCCGGTCGATATCAGCCTCACAACTTCGATTTCGCTACCTCGATTAGCACGTCTCCTTCCCCCCCTGCTTCGTCACCGCCGCGACATCCCGTCAGTCTCGTTGCGGCTCCCTCGAGCGACGCGTCTTTGCTCGACCGCGTCTCGCCGCCACCGTTGGCCGTTTGCGTTCATCGACATCACTGTACGTCCTTCCAAGGTAAAGCATTGCACAATAGATCATCAAGAAAACAGCGAGGCCAAGCAGCAGAAACAAAACGAAGAAGCACCGCGGAACGACGAAGGCCATAAGGTTCGTGTCTGTATCGCCGACGAAGAAAGAGGCAGTGGAGCAAAATTCTTGAAATACAGATTACCAAACTGCCCACTGCTGCGTCTGCGCTGCTGTGCGCCATCAGGTCCTTCTTTTGAAATTGCTTCTTTGTCTGCACTGCGCCCTGCATAACTACACTTTTTTTCGTTTCTTTTTCGTGCCCTTGTCATCCTTGCAATTTGCACGTTCTTTTCTGCATACATCGTCCGCTTGTGTGTTTTCGCCAGTCTCACTTGGGCTGCAAAAGGCTTCAGGCGCAAACCAAGGGGCCCGGCTACCCCGGGGTCCGACCTAGCTTGGTGTGCATTTGTTTTTTTACTCTTGTGGCACACCTCGATGACCCCCATCATATCCAATTGCACCGCCCTTCATCAATCACCTATTGCTCTAACCCTTTCGCGACGTACACTCTTCACCACACGCCCTCCCCTTCACCGAACAAACGGGGCGCTTGATCGCTAGTAATTTGTCCTCCCTTTATGTTCAAAGCTCTAGCATGAACAAGAAGAAGAGAAAGGCAGAACATTACCATTGAGTCCGTTTGGTGGCAGCACTGTGTCCACTCGCAAGCACCCCTTCTCTCACTTCCTCTCCCTCCCCATTCGGCATCTGCTTTCGCTTCTCGCTGCCTTATCCTACGAATTTCGTGCCTCCCACTATGGACACTTTATTCTCTCTTTGATCGACATCCTAAGAGAGACTATCAATAGCTACAAAATCACGACTCCAAGCTCAGGAAGACACAGACAGGACTTGCTGAACCAGGCCAAGTCCAACCACATTGAAAAACAAGCGTAGGGAAATCGCCGCCAGCGCCGAGCATTTCCTCACGCGGCTTACCCACACCCCTGCCACTCGCGCTCTTGCTGGTTCTTCCAGAGGCGAGTTCGATCCTTCATCCCAGTTAGCTCGGCCGGGCTGGCTCTGTTGGCAAGGAGGGCCTTTGCGGGTGCGCCCACTCCCTCCCCTTTCCACTTTCCACCATCAATTCTCGAACACCGGGTCCTTTGCAGACAGGGCGCTATCATGTTCTTCGTTTCCTGTTCCTTTCTTGTTGCATCTTGGTGCTGTGGACCCCCGGCTGCGCTTTCTGATCCTTCTGATCTTGAGCTACTTTCTTGATGCCTTTTAACTTTTTTTTGTGACATCGATCCCGCAGTCTCTTTGTCCACTGCAATACTGACACAGTGGTTGACAGGACACACCGAACGCAACCTGCCGATACGGCCCAGGGGAAAGGCGCCACACTTTCGGCGAGTCCCATTGTCGAGAGCATTGGCCGCTTGAGGTCGATCTCGTTCGTGGCTGTTCCGTTGTCACCTCCAGCATCCACTATCGCAGCCTGATCTGGGCCCAAAAAGTTGGTCAAACGCTTGTTCGCACCCCCCCACCGCCCAAACCTGGGCTTGGCCGTGCCTCGCACCTTTTTGGCGTGGCCCTCTCTTGTCCACTTTCATTCGTCTCGCAACTGGCCCCGATACACACTCCTCTGCGCGCCTGCATTGCATTTGACGCCGTGTCTGCTTTCGAATCGGCGCTTGCCTGCAAGTCCTTTAGTAGATAATCTTTTGGGGGTTTTCATTACCTCCGCAGGCCGCCCACAGCACCACCCGGTGGCTGTCTATCACCACCCCAGTCCTAAGCGAAGCTGAAGCTGAGAGTCACCCACTCGCTGGCAACAACTCGATATTCGACTTCCTCATCTCGCTCTACGACACTCGAAGTCGACCAGTGCTGCGCGATTCGTATTTGTGCAACGTTTGTCATCCTGGCTGCTCAACATGGCGCCCACAAATCCCCGGCTCAAGGTCCTTTCAGGTTGGTTTCATCATTTTACATCTCTTTATTCTGTGCTTGTCTCTATTTTGCTGTTTTTAGTGTCTCGATTTCCCACGTTTAGGCCTCGTTCGTTGCCAGATTTCCTTGTCTCGCCATCCCCTCAATTCCTCAATTATTTCCCGCTATACTCTCCCCCTGGCTAGAGTTGGCCTGGCCTGGCGTTTTCGCACCACCCCCCTACCACAGCCGCACCCGTGCCTGGCCTCTTTATCCTGAATTGATCTCATTGTTGTCCCACCGCTGCATTCCTGCATCATTCTTCGGACGAAGCGGCCAGGCCTTGTCATTTCCCCCACTAATTCCCATTGCACAACGACACCCATCATCCGCTGCCCCTGCTATCGCTCTACGCACGACGTTCCCGCCCCTGGAGAAATTTAGGTTACTTTATTATTCCTGCCTAGTCCTCCCTTCTCTCCACCCTTTCATCACTATGCCTCGCTTTTGCCTTTCTGCCTTGGTTT